ATGCATCCGCATATCCAGCACTCAGCAGGATCTCCCTCTCTATATATATTATATATATAATATATTTTTTATTCCAATGAAGCGTAAAAATACGTTTTACCTCGGAATCTCTCTCTCTCTCTATCGTCGGAAATAAATATGCTGAATTTTGTTTATGCTGCATTTGCATACATCTTTGTGAGTTCAATCTCAGACGGAAGGCAAATAAGGAGGCAAAATGCTTCTTTAGTTGTTGACTGCAATTTCCTTGGCATGATTTTCACATTTCTTACTTTTTTTTTTCTTTCTTCGTCCATTTCTTCATAAATTTTCTTGGCCCACAACTCCTTTCTCTTAGCTATTTGTGCATCTGTCTGTGTGAGTGTCTGGGTGTGTGTGTGTGTGTTGGGAAAATATTTGATTTACGTCAAATTGACACGCATGAGTTAATCAAAAAATGATTTGTTATTGCTTACAAATGCATCCGTAATTTCCATATTTTTCCCAAACCAAAAGTAAGTTGCATTAAGTGCATATTTCAAGTGGCTTGCATTGCAGTATATCGGAAGTCTTTATAGAAGTTTTATAGTTTAAGTAAAGTGATTTGAATTTAAGTTTGTCTCATTGAAGTTTAGTTCTTGGACTTACACCCTTTATATGATAATCTGATAGAGCTTATCTTTAGATGCTTCTTCAAATTCATAAGAAAAACCTATAAGTTACACCTTAAATTCAACATGTTTTGTGTTTTCCCAGGAAACAAAACCCGAAGAAAATCATTTTCTGTTATTCCAAAACCTGTTTAAGTCCACATATATAAGATTAACATTTGTTACCAATACTTGCCATGTTTATTGAAAGTATTTAAGCCTCCAGAGGTTTTAGGACGAACATTCCACTTGGACTTGGCAGCATCATCTTGGCGAAAGCCTTCTCAGATGTTAGTCATTTGAACATCTTTCAAGGCAGAGAGGAGACTATGCCACCTTGAGGCGTCTTCTTGGTTAAACAAGATAAATGGGAAATGTGAAAATGAAACATCACCTTGCCCGTCGTCCTTCGTCCTTTTGCCTTTCGTAGGTAAAGACCACAGGACAGGGCCAAGATATATTCAGTATTTATATTTCATCCTGTTACCCAACTACCCAAGTAGAAGATAACATTTTAATAGGGCCAAGCGCCACCTATTGGCCAGTGGGTTGAGTTGAGGTGAGGTCCTTGGGGCACAACGCAACGCCCCGCTCCCAGGATGTCTGTCCATTAGGTTAATGTGCACTTCAAACGAAATTAAGATGAATTGATTAAAATTACAAGAGTGCAGAGTGTTTGCTTTGGCTTCGGTTTGAGTTTGAGTTCAGTTTAGTCGAGTCGAGTTGAGTTCAGTTGAGTTGAGACTCTGAGTTTTGTGGCAAAGTTCAGGGAGCAAGATTAAGTGCTTTCATTTGCCTTCGCTTGAAAAATGATCCAGCCCTGTAGCCCTGCATCAGAGTCGTAAGGTTGAGGCAACGTTGCAACGGCCAAAACCGATGGCAAATAATGAAAGTTTTTCGGTTGGCAAAAGTGCAGGTTGCAAGCATAATGAATGGTTTTGGCCCTGCATTTATTAATGTTTTCGGAAAGCGTTCGCAAATTAATTGGCATTTAATTTGTTATGCTAACTACACTCACACACACACCCACACACACACACCGAAAGACTAATTGGTTTAGCTGGCAACATTTTGCGTAGCTTTAATTAAATTGTAAATTTTGCCGTTTAGCCAGCTCAGGAAGTCGAGTCGAGAGAGCAGCGAAAATTGCAATTAAGATAATTATCTGGCAAAAGCAAAAGTGTAAATCCTTTGCGCTCCAAGGATTATGCAACTGCAGTCTGCGCTGTGCTACTTCTGCTGCTGCTGTGTGCCGCACTTAATTTGCATAAATTTCAAATGAATCCAATGGCCAAAAAAGCGCAGCTAAACAATTGCCACTGATGAAGCAGCAACAGAGAGGCAAAATGACACTGAGGGAAAAGGGTTTCTTCATTGACTGTAGTTTCAGGGAACCCATTTTCATTCATCAAAATCTGTTTAGTATATAGTCTCTTATTCTGCAAAAATCTGAAGAATAAGATAACTTACATAGATTCGAAGAAGTAAACTTTTTCTAGGGTAATAATAACGATAAGTACTTAAAGTTTATAAGATTGTTCTTGATAAACCAATTAACCTTCCTCTCAGTATATAAAAAAGTGTCCTTTTAGCTTAACTCTTTACCTGTTTTGTCTCATTAAACTCTAGCTTCTTTTCTCCCAGTGCAGAGGCTGCTGAAAACTGCAGCTTGGGGCGCTTACTTTGTCTGTGCCACATGGCGTCCCGTCGCCCCCTTTTCGTTTTCAGGTGCCACAATCACCAGGAAAGACGTCGCAGGATAATCGAAGAACAGGGAAAAAGAGAAAAGGGATAACGGAAAAAGGGAGCGAGGAAAGGGGGGATCAGGCAACCAAAAACACAGAGAGCCAGCGGGACAAAAAACGAGAGAAAGAGCCGAGAATTTTGTGTTATTCTTACGGATTTTCTACTTTGTTGGCAATGTAAGCAAAGCAAACCGGTCGGTTCTCCTCTTTCCCTTTCCCCTTCCCTTTAGGAACACCACTCCGGCTTTCCGCTTTCATTTGCTCTGTGCAAAGTTGACGCTTTTGTTTGATTCGTGTCACCCAGCTGACCAACGCCCTTCTTGCCACCATTCCTCCTTATCCTTATGCCACCCACTACAAGGTTGTTCTTGGTCCTTCATCGTTCCACTCTGTTGGAGTTACTTTGCTTCGAATTATGCAAAACACAAAACGAGGAGCGGCAAAGGGAACAAAAAAAAGTGAAACAAAACAAATAGAAAGACGGAATTGTCAAATGAGATTCAATGTTCTGCTCAAGTGGCTCCCGTCTCCGGTTCGTCCGCCTTGGATCCATAAAGATTCTCCATTGGAGTGAATTTTAATAATAAATTTTTCCGTGTGACCACTGAAGAAGAAGAGAAGTTGCAACAGCAGCAGTGGCAGCAGCAGCAGCTCACATGCAATTTTCTAGAATTTACTGCTGCGTGAAAACTTTGGCAATTCGGTGCCGAATGGCCAACTACCACCAACTAGCAACTGGCCAACAAAGTGGCAGAGCAAGTCTTGGCCAACTGGGGATCGCGTTGCGTGTCCAGGCACAAACTGAAGGCAAATGAAGCTACAATTACGTCTACAAATACACATAAAGGGGGAAGTAATTTGCAATTAAATTACGACGAAATGGGCAATAGAAATGGAATTAATTGTCCACGAAATGCAATTATGCTTTGCTCGCCCCTACTATATTTTCCTCCTTTTTTTTTCTACTTTCAACTGCTTTTTATTCTCTGCCAACTGAATAAGCGAATAAATGAACGAATGAATGGCATCGCAAAGTGGGGCACAGAGCCGTGCAGTTCAACTTTGGTTGCAGCTTAATGGAATTGCATATTAAGAACTTGTCAAAATGATAACTTTCCTTTCGGTCCCATCAAAAACTGAAACGAGCAACATGCCAGTTTAGCACTCGCTAAGTAAGTGGGTTTTGGGTTATTTCCCCCCCAAAAAAAAAAACGAAAAACTTTAATATTAAATGGCTTAAAAGGAAAAGGGTAGAGAGTAGTGGGTGAAGTTGGTTACCAACTGGTTCATCCTAATAAATTACGAATGTTCCTTTTATTGAACTTAATTTCCTTTTTTTGACCAACGAAAGCAAAGTAAAAGCCGCTGCAAAGGAGATATATGGCCGCAGTCAAGGATTACATTTAGGGAAGTACACTGGAAACAATTTGGTAGGTTTTTAAATATTTTAGGAATTAATATATATTTTTAAGGGTTTTTTTTAACATTAAACTGCTTTTTAATAGCATTTTGCAAGTTTTTGAAAAAATTTTCAAAGGTAAGGAACTAAATTCTTCTCTCTCTTCCCTAAATTCTTCTCTAGTTTCTTATACAGTGAAGAATGTATATACTTTTTCTCCCAGTGCACACACACATTCGGTGATTTTTGCTGCACTCAGAGTAGGAGCACAAGGTTGAGTGCCTCAAGCAAGCCGCAAGCAGCCAAATGCGATGCCTTTCAAAGCTGGCTAACGATCGGCCAACAGTAGAGGGGTCCTTCTGCAGGATGTACTCTATATATATATATATATCTACGTATATGTAGCAATGGAGATGGTCAACATTTTCGGGTTCCATGGGCTTCATTCGCTTTGGCTTTGAGCGTGGCACGCAATAAATGCGTTTGCATTACGGTCAGATGTTTGTGGCAAGCCCCACAGTCCGCAAACTTACAGGCAGGCAGGCGCACACACCCAAACAAACTGGCCATTCTCGAGAGTTGTTTGCGCCTTTATGGCAGCCAAAGTTTGACCACATTTTACTAACAAAAATATTACAACAATGCTGGCATTGAAGTCTGCTTTGTGGTTAGGGGACCACATAGCCAAAACCCAAACCATCCAACCCACCACCCGTCCACCCACCCACAAAAAGGATGCAATTAATTTTGCAAAAGGACAACTTCATCTGACAGCAATAATGTATTGCAAATACCAAGAGCGTACAATGGCCGAAGAAATGCATAAATTGCCAGCTGAAGGCAATGAAATAAGTGCGGAAATTGTGAGGGGATTAAATGGCCTAAACAGTTGCCGCGGCATTAGGCTGATCGACTGGGTTGGCCTCTGCTCATACCCCTTAAAAAAATTAAAAAAAAAAAAGCAAAAACCCAACAACAACCCATTGGGTTCGATGTCGTCCGGCAAACTTTTCACTTTGCATGAACATAAAATACATACCAAATAAAACAGCAACAACAAGGAGAGCATGAAAAAAAAAATGGGAAAACTTTTTAATTTATATTTAAACTTTTTCAAAGTGTTGAGAAAGGGGCGTTATCTACGGCTGGTGCGACTTGCTGCCTCGAATGCCAAATAGTTAGAAAACACCAAATGTGCTCTGCCATGCAGAAGTGTGTGAAACGAGGCTAACAAGCTCCCTACTCTAACCCAGTTTAAAGCTCAGCGGTTGGTAGTTGAGGTCAGTCCGGGATTACCTTACATAAGTTAGCAAGCCATCCTCCCCCAGGGTGATGAGTGGCCGAAAACATTCTTTTACGGTAATCATTTATTGATAGTTTGTATAAGTTAATAAAGCTCTCTTTGTCTAAATATAACTTTAAGGTGCATTTTTGATCACGCTTTGAGAGATTAAGAACTTTTTAACTTAATTGGTTTCATTTCATTTTGATTTTTGATTTCATTTCATTACTTGAAAGGCTGGAAACTGAAGCTAAACATATTTACATGAAGAAGTCTCAATATTAATTATTATTTGCATTAGTTCATAGTCATTTTTACAGAATCACCTAGTTGCAATATAATACTTATTATCGATTCTAACCCATAAACTTAATCTATAATTAAAACGTTTTGCACATGCAATCATGACTGCTTAATAAATCTACAAATTATACGTTTAATTATCGTGTTACATGGTTTTATTTTCTAATAACTAACTGATATGTAACAGATATTTAATAAAAATATACCAGAAAAGCAGCTTCAACTTATTTGGAAATGATATAAAAGTAGATTTGTATTTTATTTATAAAATTAAGATAATTTGGCAAATATTCTAGATTCGACAGCTTTTTATATTGTTTAAACTTAAACCTTCGATGATGATAAGTTACTGAAACAGATTAAATTTTGTCCTTTAACTCAGCCTCACTTATTTTAAAGAATATTTAAAGTATTTATTTGATATTTTGATACTTCATATGCAGTTTTTCTTACTCTAACTAGCTGAAAGATCTTAAAAAATGCTATATAAGTATATATAGTTAATCTCTCTACCCACTGGAACTTCTTCTTTCCCAACACTTACTACCTTCCCGTTCCATTAAACTTAACTCAATGCACATTTTTCTCAGTGATAATGATTACAATCTGGTTACCCTCCGGAAGTTCACTGCTGTTTTGGCTAGTGCAGCGCATTTAATTACTATAATAGATATAGATATATAAAAACCCTCTAAATAAGCCTCATTTTAACCTGCAGCTCAGTGGACGACCAACCTTAAGATGCACCGCGGACTGACACGGATTTGTCAGCTTTTGATCCTTTTGGAATCTGCCAAGAACTCCATGGAATCTAAGTACGAACTTTTCTTAGAAGATGAAGAGATTATTAGTACCTGCTCGAACAGGGAACCTGGAAGCCTCAATGTCTCCAGCATGTTCGATTATACTAATACCACTTTCGCCATGGATGAAAAAGGAGTAACGATTTCGGGGAATAACACAGTGGTTTGGGATATCCAGCCAACAGATCGAGTCCAGGTGACATAATCACTATTTCTCTAGTATTTAAATATAAAAAAGTAGAACTCCACAGATGCAGAGCAGCCTTTGGTTCTTTGAGCGAGGAATCTGGCAACCGACAACTCTGAGTTTATTCGTTTTTGACTTCTGCAAGGTAATGTTTGACAGCAATCAACTGTGGTACAAGGACTATACGAGACACATAGCAAACACAGCGGAAGTTAAGGAAACTTGCTTAAGAGTTAAAGGGGTAAGTAATCGAATAAAAATGTGTAATAATTTTAAACAGAGAATTACCTTTTTTACAGACAATCATTCAATTAGAAACATATAGAGTGGATTTTGTAATCAGCAGTGTATATCCGTTGAGAGACGGTCGCTATGCACTTCGCTATATTTTCACAGCCTACGATAAGAATGAGGTCAGGCGTCCGAACGTAATATGTTTCGAGATCAAGGGAGAGTTTACTAAACTAAGAAGTAGATAAATGGTCATAAATAGTATTTCATTGATTATGAAAATATTCTTCTAGTTAAGTAAAAAAACTATTAGAAACGAAGTTTGCCTTTTATTTGATTTATTTTTAAAACAATCCGTAAATTAACACTTATTTGGCACCTTTTTAAAATTAATTATTTAAATATTTAAAAAATAGTAATAAAAACAAAAAGTATATAAACTTACTTTCTGAGTTGTAAAATATTTATTTGTAAAAATGAAAACCCAAAACTGTTCATTTCAACAGCCAGAGAGTTGCTCTTTTTCTCTGGCATTGCCCGCAAATGGTTCGCATTCATTTATCAATATTTATAGCATTTAATGTGCAATTTGCATTTCTTAATGAAATTACACAGAAATTATATATAAATCAGCATAATTTGAGCAACGTGCACCGTGGCACGCGCTCATTCTGGCTGAAAAGCGGCCGAGTATCGATATCTCTCGCCGGCCATGTAATTTCCGCTTAATTTGCTGCCATTACCACAAAAATGCATTAAATGTGCGTTTCTGGGCGCTGTAGCAGTGTTGGCCCTTTAAATGCGCTGCAATTATTTGCATTGCAATTTTAATTGAGTGTTAAAATATTTGCGGCCACCTGGTGCCGCAACCAATTGGGATCTACGAGTATGGTATCCCTGATCCGGGGCCACAAACCTTGTATCTAAGCCGTGATTTCTGCCGGCCAAAATCTCCAAGGAGCTGTGAAAATTGCGGAACACCAAGCCATTGGCCCTGCGATCATCCATCATTTGCTCCCATGGTGATGCATTTCCCTCATGTTATCCTCCCTGAATGCAATCCCACTGACTTAGCCTCTGCATCAGAAGTCCAGCTGTGTGTGTGTGTGTGTGTGTGTGCGTTCGTGTATATGTGTGGGTGCATTAATAAATTGAGTTGGGCTCATGGTGCAGCATGCAACTGCAGCAGATTTGGCCTAAACGCACACAGAGAAAAAGGGAAGCTAAATTTTGTGTTACGCTCACTTTCTTGGCTTCTTTAACTCTCTTAGGCAAGAGAAAGTTTTCGGTTTTTTTTTAGTAACTTTCTTGAAAATTAAATTCCCGCACATTTTCTTTCAGTGCACTTATCCACACATACAATAGCTGGCAAAACGGGCCTGTCGATTTCATTTGATATGCGCCTTTGGGCCATAAAATTTGACACAAACGCAGGACACACATTGGGCAATCCCAGTGCAGGATTTCGGAGCGGAAAGGGACTAAGAGGAGGAGGAGGGGGAGGCTGAGTATGGGCAAAGCCAAAGCGTTGCTCATTTGCAGTCGTTATTAAATTGCGTTTTTCAAATGGGACACAACGGTTGCCGGGGCAGGGGCAGGAGCCGGAGCAGGATCAGAAGCAGGGTGCATTGGCATTTTAATGAACTGATGCATTTGGCCAGCTGCATTTTCGAACTGGGCCCGAGTCGGCCAGCCGGCCCCTTTGTGCATTTATTTGTTTGCTTTGGCACTGATTGTATTTGCATTTGTGTGTGTGTTTGTGTGTGTTTTAGTGCGTGTGTGTGTTAGCCATTGGCAAACGTTCGATTTGGTGTAATGAAATTTTCTAATCAAAGCGTTTTGTTTATTTGCATTCGGTCATGGGCAGCTGCCTCTCCTACGACTCCTGCTGGTTTGTACGGTTTTGTTTGGCTTGTTGACTGCTTGCCACACACACTGTCGTTGTTGTTGTTGTTGCCCTTAGCCTGCCCGCCCGCCATTGTTTGCATTGGGTCAAAGGTTGTCACTTGTGCAAATACTAATTAGTTGTAATTAGGTTTTACATATGCACACCAACCGCAAAACAATTGCTCCGAAAGTGAATGGGCGTGGCTTAAGGCCTTTGCTGATTAATCGATGGATTAATCTTTGGGGGAAAATTGCAGTGATCTCTGTAGGGAAGTCATAAAGGGAGTGAGAAAAGCTGTTTCTATAGGAGATTTATAAGAGAAGAGAAGCTCTTTCAAGCCAAAAGATAACTCTTGACTATAATTGAAAATAAGCCATGAAAAATCCTTCATAATTTCAACAACTCTTTGCTAGCTTTTCTTGGCTGTTTTTAACTTTAATCTATGCATTGCTTTTCATCCAGCTTAGGCTTAATCGCTTTGATCTGGTTTCAAATTAAATGGCATTTTGTGCGGCCAATTTACATATTTTTTGGTTTGGGCCAAGCCAGAAATGGAAACAATAAGCCATAATTTTTATATAATTAACTCTATTCCCCATTTGGCGCCACACACAAAGTCTTTGAAAACTCATTTGAATATGAAATTCATATTCAAATTCAAATTTTCGCAGCTCTAGCTGCTCCCCTTGGCATCCTGGCAGCGAGTTCAATGAGGTGTTAAACCATAATTTGCACAAACGCTTCGCTGAGCTAACCGCCCACCATCCTGTCACGCCCCCTCCGCCACCCTCCATACCACGAAATTTGCATTTTGCGCGCTTTAATTTTAACTTTATTTCTTTTCAGTCATCTTTTTTTTTTTCATCTTTTGGTTTAATATTTTCAAGCTCCATTGTTCTTTTGGCTGAAAGTGTTTGGCCACAATTACGCAATGGAGTCGAAGGCAGTGGGTTTTGGGGTTCTGGAGTTTTGATGCATGCCCCGCCATCACAGTTAATCGCCATGAAATTTGTGGCCCATAAAATGGACACTGGCCACGCGTAATAGCCAAATTTTATTAGCTTCAATTTAACAATTTGTGGCTAAGGCCACTCCACACGGCTTTATTAATATTTAAACAAGGCGGACATTAGACTTATGACCACTCCCTCCCCCTCCACCACTACCGAAAAATAAAAATGGACCTCATTTCACCTGGCCCTCTGCTGCTGTAACTGATGAGGATCCAGCCCGAACAATGGAGCCACACCATTTTAATTTTTCACTTGGCTGAGTGCAGAATTAAGACATTAAACGAATGCGTCGCACTGTCCCCCGCCTCGTGGCTTATAATGAAGTTGATGCTGCCACAGCTGTGCCAAATCCTCCGTTCTCCAACCTCCATCGCCATCCGGGATGCCAGCCTGCCTGGCTGTCTGTCTGCCTGCCTGCCCGAAAGAAGACTGTACCCCCAGAACAACTGATTTTAATAACAGTCATCCGCTGCCGCTGTGCATAACGATGCGTAACCGTCGAAAAAGCAGGAGAAGCAGCAGTGGAATGGGGCGTGGCCCGGCGTTTGAGCCACGTTATGACTTTGATTCATCAGGAGGAAAAGTGGCTGGGAAACTGCGACAGCCGCTGACCTGCACTGTCAAAGAAATTGCTAAGAAAATCAAAGCAAATTTTAAAAATGATTTAGTTAAAAAACAAAACCTGGATAACCTGGATTTCTATGACTAAAACTATTACAAAATAAAAACTGAAAGAGTGTAACTTTCGAGCGGATAATTTCTTGATCTTTCATTTTAGTTTTAGGTATAAGTTTTTGCCAAGTGCCTGCTCGCCATTTGCATACAAATGGGCGTTGGACTTTGACGCATAAGTTCGCTGGCAATTTGCTTATAAAACGTATTCTAATTGCCAGCAATTGCGATGCGGCGGCGACAGGAGCAGGTGGGCGTAGCAGCTTCTCTTCCTTTGTTTTTTTTTTTTGCAGTTACATTGGCATTGGCGGGTTAAGAGCTTCGCGCAGACTTAACCCAAACGATTCTGAAATTCCCCAAGCACGCCACACTCACTGGATTCTGCGGAAAAATGAAAGAGGCAGCTCGACGCCACCCTTGTCAGCGTTAGTAATAAAACTTTATTGAATTGTATTGATTTTAAAATTATTACCATTGAGGCGGAAGTAATGCAATGTAGCCGGTCGCATATGTATGAGTGAGTGTGTGTTTGGGTGGGTGTTCTGCCAGTGTGTGAGCGCTCAAGTGTGTTCTAGCAACGGCTGTTGGAATTTAACAAACAACAACATTTTCATTATTGTGTGCAGTTCAGTGCAGAGAGAGAAAAAAAAGTAAACGAATATACCGAACCCAAACAAAGGGCTCACTGGGAAAATGGAAGGCGGGAGGGGGCCCACTTGTATTGTGCGATTTGGCATAAAAAAAAGGGGTGCCGGGGATTCACATTCACCCCTTGAAAATCTCCCTTTGTCGTCGTCTCAAGTGCTTAACTTTCCATTTCGCTGTGTGCGCTGCAAAGTAGGCAACGTTTTCTTGGAACGCAACACTCACACAAACAAACGCATACATATGAGGCCAGGATTCCCTTTGCTTTTAATGAAAATCTAACGTTTATTGTAATTTTCCCTCTGTTTTTCTCTCACATTTTGTTTTTTTCTTTTTTGTTTTTGTTTTTGTTTTTTTGTTTTTGTATTTTTCCCCAGCATGCCGCCGCTGTTGTGTATTATTCGAGTTCGGTTTGGCACGTGCACAAATGCAGCTAATCGAGTGTGAAAATTGCTCTGGCTTGCCCCAGGAATTTCCCTTTTAAAGTTTTTACCCAAAACTGGCCTTAAATATGGCTGCATTACAGTTTTTGGAGGCAGAAGGAAAATGTTTCTAAGGGTGTGTAGTTGCTGAAGTTTATTGGGAAAACAGAAATGGTTTACAATTACATAAATTTTTAGGTTTAATTTATTAGATTTTTCGACTATGTTTTTGTTAAGATTAATTAAGAGTTTACTCAAGGCTTAAAGATGATTTATTCATTATAATTTCAGAAAGTTGTGAGTTTGTTTTTGGCTTAAAAGTATGATTTCCACACTTCCATCATTAGTACGACTTTTTGACAGAATTAGGGAATGGACTTTGCAGTACTTTGGTGAATAATTTTTGAGATGGTTTTACCCCTTGCTGACCACTTGATTCCGGATATGCAAATCATTTCGAGGAACTAGTTCCGTTGGGCAGCCACAAAAGCCTGCTCTTGGTTCCACGGCCTGCCAATTCATTTCTATTCATGTTATGCAATTGAATTGCCCAAGTTCTCCTTCCCAGGGCTGCACTAAAGCTTTCCTTTCCCGCTTATGCATATGCACACACAGGACCTCTGGTCAGCGTTTCTTTTTTCCTTGCTGTCCTTTTTTTCACCTGTTCACCTGCTCAACCT